TGCTAGATTTCAATTTTTGCTTTATGCCATATTTTGTTTCATGTGCCTTGCCCACATACGAATCAAAATTTAAGAACTGAAATTTTGCCAACTTCTCAAAAGCCAAATTTGAGTCATTCTCAAATTACCATATGGAGCTGAATCCGTGTTTATATATTTTCTCAAAAAGATATTTTGGGGGCCTAATATCCTACAGTGTGTGTTGCATTCTATATCTAATATATACATGCCTCTCCCCTAAAAGGAAGGAGAAACATTATTGTGAAAACCACATTTACACCACTCATAATTCATGGGAGGGCAATATATGGAACGTTATGCTGTGGAACCGTGTCCACCTTGCAAGATGGACATGATTTTATATCCATAATTATAAAGCTATATATTCATAATTTTTTAACTTTATATTCATAATTATTGAACTTTATTTCACAATTACATAACTCTATGTTCATAATAATAAAACTATATATTCATAATTTTAGAACTTCATATTCACAATTATTGAATCTCTATATTCATAATTACAGAACTATATGTTTATAATTATGTTCACAACTCTATATCATTCCTTCTATATATTAAAGCCATATAGCCATGGTCCTGCCCATTTAAAGTGACATCGTTTAGGCCATTAAAAATACTGCGCTCAAATACTCTTAATTACCTTTATATTTTAACTAATTGTGTTTGTATTAGAATTAAATACTTAATCTATTATCAGCCACCTTTTTTGTTTTCCAAAATTGTGGGAAGTTGTTCCACATAATAACACTTTTCAAATAAATTCAAATCTCTTTAAGCAATACATATCAATACATATATATTAATTCAGATCTCTTTGAAGCCTTTCTACGTGGGCGTTTCATCTTCCGAGGCACACCCATTTGTTCTATCCCTTTTAGAACTCCATCTATACCTAATCCTTTTATAAATACTACGGTACAACATCAACGCAAGTCACATTCTTCTTTTTCTTCATTTACTTTCATCTTTCAGCAACCAGTACGATGAAATTTCATTGTGTGCATAGATATGAAATCTGAGATAGAAGAGGTAGAGGTAAAGTGTCTCTTCCATGAAAAAGATGTATGCATTTAAATACATTATTCAACCATCTGAGCACTACCGTTTTACGTTTTTTTTTTCAACACAATATATGATTTATTTCCTTTTTAATATTGCAGGGAAATTTTGTTCATGCTCATGTTTCAAGGGAACATTTAGAGGCCTTCTAGGCTTATTCATTTTGAATTATTGTATTAGTTTTTGTTTTTGTTTTTTGTTTTTCTTTTTCAGGAAACAAGCAACCTAGCAGGGTAACATGTACCAGTGAATATGTTGAAGACTATTCTTATCTTTCAATAAGAATAATGACAATTAATGGTATTAAGGAACCAAGTTGCAGGAACAAAATGCAATGAGCCAGAGAACGTCATTTTCCCTTTTAATACATGTTATGTTGTTAGCTAATGTATTTTGAAAACTTCTTTATTCCAAAAATGTTTTTTTGTAGTCATAATATAAATAAATAGAAACAGTACTTTTTTACTCCACAAACTACAGGCTTTAAAAATCTCTTCGAAAAAAGCAGATGTTTGGATTTATTTTTTGAAAAAAGGAAATGGACACTTAGAAATGCATATAAGCCACAGAAAGAATAGGCTAAAAATTAAGTCACTTAACTTCTAGATTATTAGAAGGCCAGCATCAGACTATTTTGGTCATCATCTACCTATTCTATATTTTAAAAACATGTATATTGTGCATTAAACTGCTCCACTCCCATGGGGAACAAGGTTTGGAAAATTAACATTTAATTTTGAGCTGCATTAAAAAAAAAAAAAAAAAAAAAGGACATCAGACAATTTTGATCCCTAAATCTTAAAAACATGTTAGTAGAACAGTATGCCAAAAGGACTTTTTAATATCCACATAGCATTATAGGCACATTTGAATATAATTATGGCAGCACACATTATTTTTTCTAAAGCTCAAAGAGACATTGCAGATTTAAGTATTAAATGCAGAAAATCCTAGGTAAATATAATTTTGTATATTTTTTAATAGACTCAAGTTTTGTATATTTTTTAATAGACTCAAGTTGTACAACTGAGATTGGAGCATTTGAAATATTATAAACCCTAAATATGACAGAAAATTATTGTATAACAAATAGAAAATAGGGTAAGATGGTTAGAAAGATACTTATCTTTGTTAGCGATCACAAATGTACACAATTGGTCCATAGAAATAACAAATTTGCCGCCGGTACCAAGTAATTTCACTTCATTATCTGGAAATTAAGGAAAAATAGACCACACATCATTGTTAAATTCCCAGATCTGTTGAGACATGCATGTTCCCAACTTAAAAACAAAGAAAAAATCCTAGTTCTACAAAAATCAAAACTATATAATTAAAATAATTTAGAAGTGTTTTAGACATATTTTAGAGTTTAGGATTAAGCTACTAATTATATGCATTCCTTCAACGAATAATACCACACATAAATCCTAACCTTTAAATCATTTTAGTGTTCCGATTATTTCAGAAATTTAGAAAAAAGAAGACGAAATTGCTGAAGTTTAGTATAATACGGAGTATATCATAGACATACTTCCTAGAAAAAAATACATCATTGCTTGAATTGAAGCATGTGCTCCGATATATATCTCAACTAAAAGCTTAAGCTGATAGTTGGATTGCACATTAATGGCTATATGCTCAACACGCCCCACGCTCCTTCACGCACGTGAGGGGCGTGGAAACATACTTCCTAGAAAAAAATACATCATTGCTTGAATTGAAGCATGTGCTCCGATATATATCTCATGACCTTTGGTCTGGCTCTAATACCAAATTGAAGCATGTGCTCCATCTCAACTAAAAGCTTAAACTGATAGTTGGATTGCACATTAATGGCTATATGCTCAACAGCTTGGAAGTGTGGAAAACAACGATACTTCGTAGTGAAATGTCCATATCAAACATGCATGTTTCAAAAACTCAGCTCTAAAAAAATCAAAAATTAAACCCAATTTTGGAGATTAAACTAAGTGAGATGATGATGATGATAATACAGCAAAAAAAAAAAGGCCAATCGCAAGATTCAGAAGAAGGTGGTGGAAAGTTCTTCATCTTCATTTGATGAAGATACTTCTTCTAATTCCGAGGAATAATTAAAGGCTGGTTGATTAAAATATCTCTGTATGTTTGAAAGTACCATTTACTTTTGTATGCTTTTATTGACATAAATTTAATTTTCTGTAATTAGATTCTTATAAAAATCATTGTTCTTATTTTTTTTATTTTTTATTTTTTGTTTTTAGTGTATGGATTATTTGTTCCGTTCAATGTTTAAAAAAAAATATTTTATGGGTTGTTAGAAACCCACTCTTAAAACTATAGTTGCACCTAAGAAATCAATTTGACAAATCTAAAATCTTGTGTGTTATGCACGAAGGATTTTATTTTTTATTAATAACATATATTATGATATGATTAATATTATTAAAGTAAGAAATTTATATATGATAGATTACTAAATATAATTTTGGTAACATTTATTTAAAATTTAATGAAATAAAAATATAATCCTCATATTTAGTTTTCCTCCCAAACTTTTGTTAATATAAAGTTATTTTGTCACTAACATTTTTTTCCAACTTCATTTAGTTATTTGACTATTCTTGTCATTTTAGGACTTTCTAGATTGAGAGGTGATTGAAAGTACTATTGGAACTTTGGAGCTTAACAAGCAATGTGATGCTAAGGATGGTACATCTTTAACTAATTGACTAATTGATATGTATTTAAAAAAAATAACTGACTAAGAATAAAAATTGCACATAAATTAAGTCAAATGAAAAAGGAAATGAATGTTAATAATTGACTGAAAATCCAAATTAACTGAAATAAAAAAGGAAATGGTCAAACTGTCCAAACAATAATATATGTAAATTGGAAAAGGAATCTGTTTTTAATATTTGACTGGAAATATTAAAAAAATAATTTATTATTAATAATTAACTAATTGATATGAATTTAAAAAAAAATAATTGATTGAAAATATAAATAACACAGAAATTAGGCCAATTGAGAAAAGAAATTAATATTAATAATTGACTAAAATTTTAAAATGATCAACATATTAACTATTTTGAAAAGGAAACGGATTAATTATAATATAGATAAATTGGAAAAGGCATATATTATTAATAATAATTGACTGAAAATAAAAAAAAATGTTATTAATAATTAACTAATTAGTATACATTAAAAAGGAATAATTGATTGATAATAAAAATGGCACAAAAATTAAGCCAATTGAAAAAGGAAACTAATATTAATACTTGATTACAAATTAAAAATATCCTAAATTGACTCTCATGGAAAAAGAAATGCCAGAGTCCCAGACCATCCAAACAATATAGTATAGATAAATTGGAAAAGACATTCGTTATTAATAATTGATGACCATAAATATTTTTTTAAAAATCTGTTATTAGTAATTAACTAATTGATATATAGTAACAAAAAAATAATTGATTGAGATCAATATTTGATACGAAAATTAGGTCAATTAAAAAAGGAAATAAATAATATCTTTTTTTGAAAGGGGAAATAAATAATAATAGACTAAAAATTAAAATGAGCAAACTATTTTGAGAAAACTTTACACATAGAATATTGGTACTACATTATTGCATGACTATGTTAATTATATGTCAATTAAACATGTAATGAATATTAATAAATGACTGAAAATTAAAAATGATCCCTTAACTATTTCAAAAAAGAAACGGATTAACTATAGTACAGGTAAATTGGAAAAGGAATCTATTATTAATAATTGACTAGAAATATTTTAAAAAATGTTATTAATAATTAACTAATTTATATGTATTTAAAAAATGGAGAAGTGTCAAATAGGCGCATCTACTACTGCCAAGTGTTCAATTCTACCATGAACTAAATTAAAGTCTAATTAACTACACTTACCTGCTAACTTTGTTCAATTGGCATTTTGTGCAGGTAATTGATTTTTTTTTTCAAGTTGCTAACAAGTTACCAAATAATTTAAAATTTAAAAAGAGGGGGGGGGGGGGGGGGGGGGGGGGGTTCAACCACCTGCTGTCCTCGCTGGACAGCTGGTGGCTGAAATCCTTTTTTTTTAAAAAATAATAATTTTAAATTATTTTTACTACGTTATTCAATGACTATGTTAATTATATGACCATTGAAAAATGAAATAAATATTAATAATTGACTAAAAATTAAAAATGATCCACCATTAACTATTTCAAAAATGAAACGGATTAACAATAGTATAAGTAAATTGGAAAATGTATTTGTTATTAATAATGACTGGAAATATAGTATAAACTAATTCATATGTATTAAAACAAATATTTGACTGAGAATAAAATATAAAATGATCACGAACTTGCTGATTTTCTACCATTATATACTTTTAATTTTTTTCTGTTATTTCTCAACTTTCTCTTTATTGTTTACTAATGGAGTCAAATTTGGTCACTACCTCTGATCTATCTCCCAGAACAATGAAAAGTTTTATAAGGCTTTGGTTGATGCGTTGTTATTTGTCCAAAGAATATCAACACATAGTCGTCAACCACCATGCACTGGTTTCATGACTCCAAGGTACATATTTGCATTTTTACATTTTTCAAACAACAATGTATTTTAATGATGTTAAATTAATATCAATTAATATTAATATTTATGTTGTATGTTGTATGTTAGAAAGTCACACTTCAATATATTCTAATTGACTGAAAATACAAAAGAATAATTGGCTTAAAATGAATATGATATTACTAATTGATTGAAAATATAATACGATCACTAATTGAGTGATATTCTACCATTATATATTTTCACCCGAGTCACCCGTCCGGATGGACTGAAGGTGTTAACTCTAGACGAGGATGGACAAGATTGTGTTGCCACTACAAATGGCGTCTACAAAGAGGTTTCAATAATGTGTAAATATAATCGGTGATATTATGTTTTTTTAATGGTAAATTTGTTATATATATAGATAAAAAATATATTTTCCATACAAATAATTAGGATATCAATTCATTCTTATAACTGAATTGCTAGAGAACGGACACATTTGCCTAATTTATAAAAATATTGAACAATGGTAAATAAAATCTCCAAAATTACAACACCGCATGCGTACATCTACACATTAGCTATTAATTTGAGCAATTATTTGCTCAAATTCAAGCATTGATAACATAAAAACACATAAACGATCCAAACCATACATTCAATTGCACTATATAATATTTGATGTTCTAATTTAAATAATTATATATCGATCTAAATATTAATAAGATATTATAACAAATTCATTCCGTGCATCGCACGGGCGCAAATACTAGTTTACTAAAAAAAAAAGATACCTAATTGACCTTGAAAAGAAAACAGAAATTACTTATTAATACTAGAAAAGGAAATGTAAATTATTAATTGATTGCAAATAAAAAATGATCCTTACACCGGGTCTGTAGGACTGAACTTGGGCTTGCCTCCCCCTGCACACTACTCAAGAGATTCAAAAATCACATTCTCTCTCTAAGGTTTTTCCAAGAATGGTGGATCACCATCATCGTTCCCGGTCCCCGCACAAGAGAGGGTCCTGGTCATTGTCGCCGTTAACATTTCCTTTCGTCTATATTCTCTCTTGGTTTTCGTTCCAATTTCTGAGTTTCCCACCTGTATGCGTATGCTTATTAGCGTGTTTTCTCTGTGTAGGAATTTCAAAATTGAAACTGTGCCACAACATTGGACAAAGCTCATGTATCCAACTTGGGGGTGGAGTTTCAAACAACGATATTTATAGATACCCCCGAAACGGACACCCGGCCCGGAAGATAAAGCCAGGCGGTCAGTTGTGAACATGATACAACACTTAGCAAAAAGGGCAACACCCGCGATTCCCGAAAGAGTACAGGGGGGTCGTAACCAGACGATTCTCATCAATCGACCACCAAGAAACACGACTGCCGGCCCAGATAAAGGCCAGTTGGTTTAAGCAAAGCAGGTAGATGTGACATCCGGTGTGTCCCCGACCGAATGCCTTACATCATTTGGGCAGGCGACCAGGCTCCGCAGGCAGTGCGTTCCAGGATGGGAACCATTTAGAAAGTCAGTCGGGCTACTAGGCTATGCGGTCGGGACATCTTCGCCCGGACACGGCGACCCCTCGGAGAATCCTCCTCAGCATCCAGGACACTCCCTGACCGATTACTCCCTAGCAAGGTTGCAAAACACGTTAGGCGCTGATTTTTTAATTTTTATTTTTTTAATTAAAAAAATTAAAAATCATCAAAATTCAATAATAAAACATAAGATTTCCATATTTATTTCTTACAAACTATTTACGTAAGTGGTTTTATGATGCGGCCCAACATAATGAAGATCCATCAAGAGTACCAATTGGGCCAATCACAATGCCTAAGTCCAAATGATGCGGCTCAACATAATGAAGATCCATTAAGAGTACAAATTTGGCCAATCACAAGATCCAAGGCCCAAATCAGCTTTATTATTTGTGTTCATCATTATTTTAAATTGTTTAGAATTAAAGAGAAAACACTAGTTAGTATTTAGAAAGGATTCTTTAAACCCCTTTCTAAATAGGACTCTATTTACTTGTTTTCTAGAGTAGGTTTAGGACTCTTTTTCCTATTGTATTTAGGATGCTGCCCCTATACCTATAAATAGGGCACATCCATATCAGTTATAAGGAGGCTTTAATTCAATAAAATTCTTAAGTTTTTCTTTACACTTGTGTAAGAAACCTTATGGCTAATTGTGGACTCAATTAGTGGCTAGTCGTGGACTCGACTAGAAAATTGATTCGTGGACTCGAATCAAACTTACTTTCTTCAACCTTAGATTTAGGTTCGTGGACTCGTTCTTGAATCGAAGGAAACTAGATCCGACTCTAGTTGATTGAAGATTGCATCATCGAGGTACTTGAAGCTACACGGGATTCTTCCAAGTCTTTGAGGATTCGAGACAAAGGGTTTCTCGTGAGGTTTAAGGTATTTTGATCCATCTCTATCTTTGCATTGAGAGCATTCTTGGGACAATATTCCATCTTTATTTGAACCTTGGACTAGGTTCATATCAATTTGGTATTCAGAGCCTAGGTTTATCTCATTATCGTTAGAAATTTGTTTTCTTTGGTTTCCTAGGTTTATCTCATTCTTATCTTACATACTACTTTTTTTTTCGTGTCTTTTTCATTAAAAAAAAAAACCCCAAAAAAAAATTTCTTTTGCATTCTTGATTGTGTTCTTGAATCTTGATACATGTTTTCCAGTTTCTTGAAAAACAATCCCGAAAGTGTTTTTCCTTTTTCCCGTCTAATATCAACGAGACCTCACACCTCCTAAGCACCATATTACCACATATTCTGTCAAAAAAACAAATCCATCTCACCCTTACCTATATCCAAAGCGCATTTACGCGCAATCACGTCTCAATCACACCCTGTCCAGATTTTCGCGAGCTGTGACCAGTTTCAAATAATTACCTATATCTCGAGATCCACTGGTTAGTTTTATCTGATATTTGGATATGTTTTAGATCTCTTCTGGGGTGTTCTTTTGATATATTATACACTATCTAATTCCTTCTGGTTAGTGAGATATTGATCTTTAAAGTCAGGGCAGCGTTTCTGTTTTTCTGGGTGATTCTTGAAATTCTTGATTCTGTTTTGAAGGGGTTGTGTGGATCCTCTTGGTCCGATTTTTTTTTTTGATATTTACAGTAGTTATTTGGAGGTTACTTATCAAAAAAATAAAAAAAAATTAATAAAGTTGAAAAAAAAAAGAGAAAGCAAAAGAAGAAGAAGGTTGGGGAAAGAATAAGGTTGGTAGGAGAATCTTGGAGGGAAAAGGAAGGGGAAAAGTATAAGGTTGGAAGGAGTTCTTGATATATTCCTATTTGGTTGTGGTACACTTGAACCCCTCTTACATTCTGTTGATATTGGTCTTGCGTATCTTTCTGCCATACTTCCTTCTTTGGTTTCCTTTTTCTTTCAAATCTTATTTAGTTTCTTTGTTCGTATTGTCCTTTTTCTTTGCTTCTTGCTCTCAATTTTATTACCTATCTCGCGATACACCCTTACTCTCAACGGCTTGTGAAGTCTTCCAAGGTACGTTTTCTTGAACTTTGAGGTTGAATCCATATCAACTTGAGTACCGGACTAGAATTTTCCTTTTTGGAAAAAGGCTTGTGAGAGTATCTGCCACCTTGACCGATACACGAGTGGAGTGTGTGTAGTGCACCCCCAGAGCCATATAATCCACCTCTTACCTGCGAGCCAACTTTTTGGTTTCACTAACGTGAATACTCACATATCTTCTTGTTTTTAGATTTTGTTTCACATCTACAGATGGCTGAAGAGGTTCCAAACACACGTAAGAGATTGGAGCAGAAAATAGATGCTCTAGCCTTTGCCATGGAAGGTTTAAGCACTCGAATGACTAATCTAGAGCAACACCCTAAGCGAGTGCAACTGCCACTCTATACTAGGGGAAACATTCATGGAAAGGGATGCATTATTGTTATCAATTCGGATTGTTGTATGAATTTAGCAAGTGCAGCCATGGTGGACTACCTTAAGTTACCTCTTATCAATCACCCCCAACCATACAATCTTATTGATTCAGGGGATGTGAGAGTGACTAAACAAGTTTTTATTCCTTTTTGTATTGGCAAGTATTATGATGAGGTTCTATGTGATATTGTGCCAATGCGTACTGCACATGTTTCACTTGGAAGGTCATGGCAACATGACAGACATTTTTATTATAATGCACTCAACAACACGTGCAATGTCACCTATAATAGATTTATACATGTGCTTAAGCCTCTACTTCCAAAACAAGTAGAAGAAATTCAACTGAGATCGAAGCAAGCTCTCAAACCAGCCTTGAAGAAAGAAGAAATCA